AGTTTGGATATTCGAAAATTTCGAAACCTGGAAATTTGAGAATTCGAGACTTTGGAAACGTGAAAATTTGAGGATTCCAGAATTTGGAAAATTGAGAATTCCAGAGTTCGGAAATCCCAAAATTCTAAAGTCGAAAAATTACTAATTAATCCAGAAAATAAATAAATATTCTCTAAGTCATTAAAGACGAAAGTTAAGAAGTCTATATAAACTGATAGAAATGATTCTACAATACAAATAAAAGAAATGAGGCTCTCAGAAAAGAAAAAAGAAGAAACAGTAAAGTTTGAAAGACAGGTGAAGAAAAAAGGACGAATACTGAATCTGAACAAAAGAAGAACACCTTAAAAAAAGAAGAGAAACAACCACCACATTCCTCACCTATCCTTATCAATTGAATAACATTTACCAACCGCAAAATCAACAAAAGATTACCACGTTCCAAAATCCTAGTTAATAAAACGAAATAACTCAAATTCCACATTCTTCACATCTCGCATTTCAATTTCATTTCGCAACGTGATTACCACTTACGTAAACTCTGCTTAACGAAAAAACAAATTATTAAGCATACAACGAATCACAACAAAAAAAAGGAACAATAACAAGTATTTATCTCTGTTACCTAAATTCCTCGGAAACATCATAAACCGAAAGGTGATAAAACGGAAAAATTCCAGGAGGGAACCGGGGTTGAAACACTGAAACGGCGAGTTTCTTCAGTTTCCATAAGGAGCAGCCTTATTCTCCCGTTTCACGACTAATCGCCGCAACAAATTACACGGGTAATTTGTGCCTGGGGAAACGCGGTCGGAATAAATAAAACGTCGTTTCGTATGCTTGCAGCGTGCAACATTATGCAAATGGCCGCGATTGTTTGCTTACGGCCCAAACGTATCGATTTACATTTTTCCTCTTCTATAAATCAAACATCGCGTATGTATCATAAACTCGTATAAAAGACATGTTTTCTTTTGCTATCGCTGAAATTATTCAATTTCCAACGATAAGAAGAAATTATGAATAATTGAAAAAAGTTACTCACTATCTGGTTCACATTTTTTTTAAAATAATTTTTCATACTTCTAATCAACTAATTGCAAGTAATTGCGCTAATTTCTTTTTTAACTGAAAAAAGTTCTTACCTCTTTTTATCTAAACAGTCAGGTTATACGTTTCGTAGAACTTTCAAGTATTAAGTAAGAATTAAGAAAAATTACTACCGACTTACCTCTGTTTCTAACAGAGACAAAAACCAAAAGGTATTTTACTCGTTGCTTGAAGATAAATCCAATTTACCCCTAAAATTACTCAGAAATTAACACGAAAAAATTCAACATCCACGCTTCGCTGCGAAAAATATAATTCGAGTTATATCCACTAGCTCGTTCGCCTTACGAATTATTATTGGATTTGCCTTCAACCGTCGAGAAGAATACCGTGTAACTTTTACAGAAACAGAGATACGACGGTTTAAATTTCGCTACGAACTTTTCGAAAGTTTATGTTAATTAATACTTTTCGATGTGAGCTTCGTTGAAATATTCACAGTGAAATATCGTGTACGAGTGTTTTATGAAGGTGAATCAGAGGGACGAAGAAGAAGTGGAGGGATCTAAAGGAATCAGCTGACTGGATAAACAAACGAGTGAAATGAGAGAGGGTGATTGAAACTCACGTTGTTGGATGTTGGACTACCCTGTGATTATAGGGGTCGTAGTCCTCCTCGTACTCCTGCACGCTCTTCTTCTTATCCTCCAGCTCCAGTACGTACACCTTGTTCTTGTTTTGGCTTGGATCGTAACTGGAACAGAAATTATTCGGATTCGTTGATTTAAATTGTTATTTACGTGTGAATGTAACGCGGTGTAATTTTGCGTAATTGCGATTGTTTAATATTGAATAAATATTTTTGAAAAATTTAATTTCTGAGTACTTCTTTTTTAGTAAGACACTGGAAACCTACCCATTTTGATTAGCCTTCGCGGACCACTTTTTATTGTCCAGAGCGTCCTGGAAAAGAGAAAAATTTCGGTTAGTATCAAAATTTTTATATGTTCGCGGGAATTTTTATTCGAAAGGAGAGAATCATAATGAAAAGACTGAAATTTCAATCTTTCTGTTAGCAAAATTTTAAATATCTGCGACAATTTTTACTCAAAAATAGAAAATCACGATTGAAAGATTGAAATTTAAATCTTTCTACTTTTAGAAGAAGGAAACTTCCTTTTCACTGACTTAGATCCTTCAAATTACCCTAAATCACACTGAAGAAACGTTGACCTATTAAAAATTAACGATCGAAGACCTTACAGTACTTGCAATTTCGCTGTTAAAAAAAAGGAGGCAAAATGGAGACCGCACTATTGCAGAAAACATCGCCCGACGTCCCGTCGAAAGTGGTAAGATTAATATATCGTTAATTTCGAGTGCCTCAACTATCGTAACATCCTTTTTTTTTCTATCTACAAGTATGATTTGAAATAAATTGCCGGTCGAAACAATTGGCCACCGTGAAATGAATGTGCTGTCAACGAGGATTACGTGCTCGTCACCGATAAGAATCGGCGAACGACGCTTCCCGCTCTTGGCTTTACAAACTGTACACGGACTCGCCGTCGATTCTTTTTTTCTTTTTTCGCTGAGAATCTCCGTCGATTCGTAATTCACGGTCCATCACGATGAATAACGACCACACGAAACAACGATAACGACGGACGTGACCACAATTTTGTACGTGACAAAATGGCCAATTTTAATATTCACCAGCAGCGAACAAATTAATTTACATAACGCCGTGTTTAGTCTACTTTCCTCGAATTCGCGATGTATCTTTTCGCTGATATATTTCTCGGTAAGAAATGATATTCTCTGAAAATATCTCTCTTGTCTTTTGGATCGCTGAGAATGAAACGGGTCATCGTGGAAAAATTACGAGTAAAATTATTTTGCCGGTGAAGAATAAAATTTCAAAGAAATAAAATTAATTTTCATGGAAAAATTATACAGATTTCTCGGTAGAAGATAAAATTTTGAGGGAATTTCTCTTATTTTTCAAATCGTTGAACATAAAATAAATTATCATAGAAATATTATAAGTGACATAATTATACAGATTTCTCGGTAGAAGATAAAATTTTGAGGGAATTTCTCTTATTTTTCAAACGGTTGAAAATGAAACGAGTCGTCGTGGAAAAATTGTAAGTAAAATTGTACAGATTTCTCGGTAGAGAATAAAGTTTTCAAAATATTTCTCTTATTTGTCAAATCCCTGAAAATAAAATCAATTTTCATGGGAAAAGGTAAAATTACTCTTATTTTTCGAATGGTTGAAAACAAAATCGAAATTATCGTGAAAAAGAAACAGGTAAAATGATTCCAAAAGGTGAAAATATTGTTTCAATGTGTTAGGCTAATTTAGAAGAGGAGAAATCCTCGAATCTTCCAAGGAAAATTAGTAGAGTAAATATGCTTGAGACTATTGATAAACAGAATAGCAAGATTACCACTGTAACATTGATTCACTAAATAGAAAACAAAAGGTACACAAGATAAGTACACGTGTAAAATGATTAAATACCAAGAGATAAAAGAAATTGAAGTGGGACAATTATGGAAAACAATTCTTTTTACACCTAGACTTAATAGCGATTGTGCAATCGATTATATTGCACCCAATTGTTCTACAATTTCTAAAAAATTTCTCTTATCTGAAAATGTACGCTGAAAGAGGAAAAATGAATGCAAAATGTTTAGAATTACGCAAGAGTCAACAAAAGGTACTTTCTTCATTTCGCGTAATCATTTCTTAATCTATCTGGATCAATGTTATATCACAATTTTCACGGATTAACACGAGGATTTGAATTATCTCTAAAAAGCAATTCGTTCCATGACGAAGTCAGATTATCGTTTATTGCGTTATTTCGTTGAATATCCTTCGGGAATCTTTGTACACGTTCGCGTTCAAAGATTTCGAAAGGAATAATTGAAACGGTCGTGTATGAGGAATCAGCGGCTCGTCAATTATTGTAAGTTGTTTGTGCGACACATTTCAATTAGTTAAAGTGAATAATTCTCGCGTTCAACGCTGTACTGGGAAATTTGAAAATTTGACAATGGGAGAGTTTGAGAATTGTAAACTTTGGGAATTTGAGGATATGGCAATTCGGAAATTTGAGAGGTCTAAGATTTGGAAATTTGAGAATAGGAAAATTGCGGAATTTGCAAGCTTTGGAAATTTGAGAAATACAGAATTTGCATATTTGGGGATTCGAGAACTCCAGAATTTCGGAATTTGAGTATCCGAGAACTTGGGAATTTGAGTATTCCAGAACTTGGGAATTTGAGAAATCCAGAATTTGGAAATTTGAAAATTTGAGATATCCAGAATTTGCATATTTGGGGATTCGAGAACTCCAGAATTTGGAAATTTGAAAGTTTGAGAATTCCAGACTTTGGGAATTTCAGGATTCACGAACTCCAGAATTTGGAAATTTGAAAATTTGAGAAATCCAGAATTTGCATATTTGGGGATTCGAGAACTCCTGAATTTGGAAATTTGAAAGTTTGAGAATTCCAGAATTTGGGAATTTGAGTATTTGAGA